TACAGACATGGTACAGACCCTAAACTTCAAGGAAACCACCATGCAATGCTGCTTTCTATGATAAAACAAATTGATTTCCTTCATGGGGCACCTGGGTGCTGCAGTGGGTTGTCTGACTCTTGGTTTTAGCCCAGGTCCTGATCTCAGGGTTGTGAGATCAAGCCCTGCTTTAGGCCTCATGCTCAGCGTGGAGTCTGCTTAGGATTCTCTCTTCCTCTTCCTTGCCACTCGCATGCACTCTCTCTATAAAATAAGTATGTAAATCTTAAAGAAATGAATTTGTTTCCTTCTAATAAGTGGGCAAAGATCTGTTTAATAAATAGGATTGTTCATGTAGATACTTGATCTGATGAGACTAGCAGAGGAGTGCTTTGAAGAACTGTGGAGCAGTTTCTCAGATAGGAAGTCCTGACAACACAGAGAGCAAAAGGCCTATTAAGTAGGAGAAGAAGTTGAATTTTTGATACTTTGCAAGGGAAATACAATGCAAAAACCCATGGAGGTCAAGTCATTTTATATTAGCAAGGACCCTGACTTCTAACTCCTCATTGACAGAACCACAAGGAAAATAGTTGTAGACATGTTATTATCAACTAGTAGTTATCTACTGCTGTATAAAAAATTACCCTAAAATTTGGTAGCTTACACAATAAACCTTTAGTATCTCACACATTTTCTGAGGGTCCGGAATCTGAGCGTGCCTTAGCTGGGTGGTTCTACTTCAGGGTCTTTCATGAAGCTGCGGTCAACCTGTTGGCCAGAAGTTGTCATCTCTCCCAAGGTCTGACTGGGCCTGGAAGATTTCCCTCAAGCTCACTCATGTGACTTGTTGGCAAGAGGCTTTGTTACCTCTCCACGTGCACCACTCCATGAGCTGGTCACTGTACAGCTTCTCTTAGAGTGAGTGATTCAACAGGAAACCCTAACCTAATCCTGGAAGTGACAAGTGCTCACTTGTTCCATATCATATTGGCTGCATAGACTTGCCTGGTACAGTGAGGGCAAGGACTACACAAGGGAGGTAGAGATCACTGGGGGCAATCTTGGACGCTGGTTGCCACACCTACTGAAGGTGCTTTTTCTTGGGACCTCACAATTTCTAGCTACCCAATTGCTCATTCTTTTGTTTAAACTACTCGAGTCTGACAGGGAACACATGAACCTTGTTAAAATGTGGAACAGTCTAAATATATTTTATAGAAGTTGTTTTAGATTATATTGGGATAAATGGGAGTCAATTATTAAGGGTAATTGCTTCAATAAAATCATGAACAGCCAATTAAAGTCCTGAAGATAGAAAAATTTTTACCTATATATTCAATCATAAAAGATCTGAAAGAACTTACTATAGGGTGACTATGAAGTAAGGTTGAATTTTTATTTCCTCTTAAATACGATGAGGAGAACAGGAACTCAAGGTGAAGGATGAGGTAGAGACACAGTCTAGTTTAATTAAGAAGTAAAGTTCCCAGTTATATGTTCAACTTGATTTGAGTTTTCTGAGTTAAAACACTACTCCTACAGTTTTCTGTTTTTTTTTTCCATAGATGCTGAGATTATTTTGTAAGTTATTCAGATTTTGTATTTATAAGGCTTTCCTACTTTTCAAGTAATTATCTACTCTTTGGGAGAATAAAGCAGCAAGGCTTACCAGTCAATATATTCAGTGGGTTGTAGCAACCATGTAAGAGGTGAGAAGGTGCTAGAAGGGGGAAAAAGTGATCATGAGGAGGGAAAGGTGAAAAAAAGGTGGATGTGATAGAGAGAAATGAATTGGCAACTTATAGTTTCAGCTTCTTTCTCAAAGGGATTGTAGCCTTTTTTAGCTGCCTAGCACCTTGGTGAATTTGGGGTGCACTCATAGGAGGACAGGCACTGGGAAGAAGTGAAAGGCTTCTGAGCCCCTCTGGGAGAGAAGGGGTAGTGATGAACAGTAAGAGGGGATGAAGGAAAGAGCGCCCGCAGATGGTAGGAGGCCATGAAATCTGCCACGGTGCACAAATCTTTGCTTGGTGCCCCACATTTTAGAGCTGTTTGGTGTAAATGGATTTCTTGTGTACACATTGGAAAAAGAACTGAATTCTAGGTTACTGCGTGAGAAGAGCAGAGATGGGACTCCTAGGGACAGCTGCCGGAGACAGGGGGGACCTTGACATAATGAGCCCAGGAATTAGTGGACATCATAGGGAGGACCTGGGTTGTCATTTGGTTGTGAAATTGGCAGTAAGTCTGAGGCAATTATTCCCAGTTCTCCAAGGTGCAAGGAAGACCAGCTAACCTCTCAGTTTGGGCAGTTTGGTGAGATTTTTGACATTTGATGTTCTGGGTTTGGGTGCAGAGCTAAGATATCCTCTCCACGTGGACAAAACTCACATGTAAACACACAAACAAGCACCTGTATACATGTGCGCGCACACACACACACACACACACCAAACACATTTCTGCCGTTCCAACAGTGCCAATCTTTTGTTTTCATTTCAAATGAATGAGTTCAGCCAATTTTGATCTTTCCTTTCATGTCATTGAATGGCGAGTTGCCACAGTATGTTGCTCTGCTTTCTCATAGAGAAGCATCAACTTCTGTTGGTTCTGCTGTGCTTTTGTTTAGGAGAGTCACCTCCAAGGAGTCCAGTCAGTTCTAGTGGATGTGGCCTGAGGAAAAATCATACTTGGAGTGCACCAACTTCAGGCCTGGGAAGAGACTCTTGAGGGGGTGGGCTCTCGTCTCTCACATAGTCCCGTAGTCTTTCCCTGCCAGCTGGGTGCATCAGCAGGCATCTCTGAATTCCACATTTTTCAGAGCCCTTGCAGATAGAGGGATGGTTAAAGAGAAATTTCCTGAAGCTGCCCATGGCTATCAGGTGCCTCTATGCTCCTTAAAATAAACCTGATGGACTTTGAGAGGCACTGGCCTCGCTGAACTTCAAATCGCTTAAACTGTTGATGGAAACATTGAAAATACCATTACTCATTCTGATAACATTAAAGCATGTAAGTATACCAATCCTGAGAGACTCTTTGAAAGATAAATTCTACAGCAGAGTTGGCCCGAGTTTCTAAACACTGCTGTCTCAACACTCCTATGATGGTAAAGTATATCAAGAGATCTAGAGTTAGAGGAGACCAATAGCTCAACCAAGCCAGAAAGATTTTTAGAATTCCACTCTTGAATAAAGACGACTCAATGGTCTCACAATAACCAACCCTATTTTTAAAATATATGCAGATTGTGGCGAATTTCTTTCTAATTAATTAATTAATTAATTAATTTATTTATTTTTTAAGATTTTATTTATTTGAGAGAGAGAGAATGAGAGAGAGCGAGTACATGAGAGGGGGGACGGTCAGAGGGAGAAGCAGACTCCCTGCCGAGCAGGGAGCCCGATGTGGGACTCGATCCAGGGACTCCAGGATCATGACCTGAGCCGAAGGCAGTCGCTTAACCAACTGAGCCACTCAGGCGCCCGAATTTCTTTCTAATTTAAACTCAAAATTTTTAGATATGTAAAATGCTACCCCCCCCATATCTTATTTTTTCTTCATAAAGTTTAAATTCCTTGAGGTCTGGAATGAGTCTTAGAGTTCTCTCACATGTTTCACAGTACCTGATAAGATGTTGGGTGCATCCATGAGTACTGTTTGGTTTCTTTTTTTCATTTTTTAAAGATTTTATTTATTTATTTGACAGAGAGAGAGATAGAGCAGGACACAAGCAGGCAGAGTGGGAGAGGGAGAAGTAGGCTTCCTGCCGAGCAGGGAGCCCAATGCAGGGCTTGATCCCAGGACCCTGGGATCATGGCCTGAGCCAAAGGCAGACGCTTAATGACTGAGCCACCCAGGTACCCCTATTGTTTGGTTTCTTGTTTGAGCATATTTTCCCCAGGTCTCTAGCAGTGGACAAGAGATGATAGATGACCTCAGGTAAAAACATGTTCCATATAAAGATGATGTAATGTGTAATTAGATTCCTCTGTCAGTTTTTCATCTGTTATGTATAGTGGCCATAGGTAAGGAGAAGAGGTAATTTGACTCCCTTGTTGAGACTGGGTTCTTGAAGCAACGATGAAAGAAAGTATTTGGGGGGAGTGTTGCATGCATATGTGTGTATATGTGTGTATGTGTGCACATGCATGTGTTTAGTATAATTGTGATGGGCAGAATAGGTTGAGTATATGATAGGGCAGAAAACCATCAGTATCCATTAATATGGCTGACCCCTTATACAGATTATTCATTTAATATTGATAACAATACCCTTTGCACAAAAGATGTAGAGAGATTAAGGAATTTGCCCAAGGTCACACTGCTGGTAAGAGGAAAACCAGGATGCATCTAAGGCTCATGCTGTCTCTGCTATAGTAGAGAATTCTTTAGCAGATGGTACATCCTGATTGTTTGAAAGTCACCAACATTTTGAACCAAAAATCATGAAAGTGATTAATGCTGGTTCATCCAGAGCTCTAATGATTGTAATATGTGTTCACGGATCTGTATTACCGCCATCCAAGACAAGCTATCCGGTGGCACATGGAAAAAGCTCAGTTGCGGAGGCTTTGGACCCTGGCTTTTCCTTGTACTGCCTATTGCCTTGGGTAAGGGAATCATCAGCCTCTCTGAGCCTCCGATAAGGCTCTGAGGAGTGCCTGGGATTGCATGTGCCAAATCCCCGCCCACGGAGCCTGGCTCCCACTTACGTGCCCGATATGTATTAAGATTTTCAAACCATTCACACTGAGGCACCAGCAGTTACACTTGCTGCAAGAACGTGCACAGTTGGTTTAGGAGCTGCAGCTTCCAGGAAGTTACAGCTGCCAACTCACCCTCAGGGCACTGAATGACCTGCCACCTACATGGAGTCGGGGAGGTTTTGCTGAGAAAGTCACCCACAAGGGAAGAAGAATCTACTTAAGGTGAAATGTAACCATCTAGGGAGATGATGTGAACATTAGGAGGGGAGCATGATCAGAGATCTTTGAAATAGACAATGTGGTGAAAACTAGTCGGCGTCTGTTAACAGCACCGTTCATGAATTTAGCTTATCGGGAACCTGGTTTTGTGTCTTCGCTGATAAAGAAAATTGGAGGCTTTTTAAAGAAAAAGTGGCTATTGTATCTAGCAGAGACCTATTAAACAAATCGGTGTTCAGAGTTCAACTCTGTTGGTAGAAAGTGGGGGAAGAAAGAGCTCAAGTATGACTCGCTGATGGTAAGTGCCCTTGGGTTATTTTTTAAACACTTTTATCTCAAAGGGAATGACATTTTAAGGCAGAAAATTAGGTTAAAAAGAATAATTGCTAGCCATCTTTTTTTGTTGTTTATGGAAAAATAGTATTACTGATGGGAAAATCCAGTTAGAGATTGATGGAGTCTTTGGTAGTCTTGTTTGTATAATATGGAACTTTGGCCTCATATGTTGGAAAGTTCTGGGAGAGGGTGGGAAAGCAAGGGGGCCTTGCTGTGGACACACAGAGTGTGCCTATTCCAGCTATTCTTTCTGGAGTCCCTGAAAATCCTGATGTGTTGGGGAATAGAACTCAGGAAGTAAGGAGCTTCAGGACAGTAGGGGTGAGGGAGAGGCACGTAGTGTGGGAGGGGAAGTCAGCCATCAGGGAGAAGGAAATACAGGATGGAATACAAGTGGAGGGTATAAGGAGGAGGACTGGGGTGAATAATTGATTTCAGTTCACATTTGTCATTGGTGCCTGCTCTGAGGCTCTTCTTGATGGCTCCATTCTCTTTCTCACTGAAGGCTGCCCAACCAAGGGTGTCAATCAAAATATGGCAGAGCTGGCCCCAAAGCCTTACCCACTGAGCATCACCGTTTCCTAATAATTTCCTCCAGGAGCAGAGACATGGGAGGTGTGCTTCTCCATGGCTGCAATGGTTCTCTTACCAGCTCCTGAGGCCAAAATGTCACCGTGTCATTGTCCCCCGAATATCAGTCTGAACATTGCTATCCCATTTATGCTATTCTATGTAGAGAATTTGAGTCAGAAAGCCCTGGGGTTGTGCAGAATTGCATCTAATCCCTGCTCTTGCACTTATGTGATGCACGACTCTAGGCAATTCATCTAACTGCTTTCATTTTTGTATTCCTTACCCACAAAACCAGCATATTAGCACTAATGCCAAACTCCGAGGGTGGTTTCTAAAGAAGAAATGAATGCAGAGTACTTAGTTCAGTACCTCGCTGACAGTAAATGCTGAGTAATGTCCGTCCTCATCGTTGTCATTATGTTTTTCCTTTCCGACTCTGGGAACTCTTATGTCTGTGCCCTGCAGACCGGCTGTTGGGATGCTGATTTGGACTTTAAGAATCCCCATCAAGTCATCAGGTTCTCTCTGCTCTCAAACTGGTTGTTTAGATGAGGCGATTGGTCCCAAAGTATTTTCCTACCTGACACGTCTACTCTTGGAGACATGGGCCAATAGCTCAAGCGGGTCTGGGTGTCTGGTTTTCAGATATCTGCTTCTCCAGGAAGGGAGCTCTTCATCTGCGTCCTTCTAAATACTCACCCTGTGATTGGGAGGGTCTTTCTTTCTCTGCTCGCCCCTGCAGACTTCCCAGTTTTCTGTGAATGCAGAGATGGACAACTTCAAAGGAGAGAGTCTGCAAAGTTTTGGGCGACATTGGGATCCAAGAGCAAACGCACTGCTGTGGGTAGGCACAAGGTGGGAGTCTCCCAGCAGGGGTGAGGCTGAAATGGTGTGAGTGTAGTGCACGTGTGTGCACGTGCATGACATAGGGTCCTCATTCAAGGTGAAGGGAAAGGTCCCTCTGGTCTGGAACAAAACTCTGACAGCAACCAAGTCCAGTTTCCAGAAAGAAAAAGGGAAAAGGGCCAGCCAGGTTATTTGAATTCTAAACAGGGGCCTTTAAATTTGTTTTTAAATTTAATTGTAAAAATTCTTAATATGAGACCTACCGTTCTAACAAATTTGTAAGTGTGCCGACATTGTTAACTAAATGTTAACTAAAAGCACAGGACTGTAGAGCAGATCTCTAGAAATTATTCATCTTGCTCAACTGAAACCTTATGCTTGTTGGTTACCAACCCCCACCTTTTCCCCTCCCCTAAGCTCCAGGAAGCCACCATTCACTCTTTGATTCTATGTATTTGACTTTACATCAGTGGAATCACGTAATATTTGTTCTTCTACGACTGGTTTATTTCACTTAGCATAATGTCCTCAAGGTTCGGGCTGAATATTATTCCATGGTATGTATATACTCCACTTTCTTTACCCATTTACCTCCCCATGGTCTTATATTGTTTCCACACCCTGGCTATTGTGAAGAGTGCTGCAATGAACATGGGAGGGCTAATATCTCTTTGAGATTCTGATAAATACCCAGAAGTGGGATTGCTGGATCACTTGTTCTATTTTCTGTCTTTAACTTGTTCAGGAACCTTCATGCTATCCTTAACAACTGTCGCATTTTGCATTCCCCCCAGCAGTGTACAAGGGTTCCAATTTCTCCATGTGCATAACAACGCTTATCTTTTGCTTCTTTGATAATAGCCACCCTGGCAGGTGCGAGGTGCTATCTCATTGTGGTTTGGGTTTACGCTTCCTGGATGGTTAGCGATGTTGAGCATCTTTTCATGTACCTGTTAGCCATCTGTGTGTCTTTTGGGGATAAATGTCTATTCAAGCCATTAGCCTATGCTTTAATTGGGTTGTTCTTTCTTTGCTATTGAATTGTAAGAGCTCCTTATATATTGTAGAAATCAATTCCTTATGAGACATAGAGTGTGCAAATGTTTTCCTCTATCCTGTAGATTGCCATTTCTGTTGATCATTTCCTTTGCTATGGAGACGTTTTTAGTTCAATGTAGATCCTCTATTTTTCTCTTGATTTTTGTCTATTTTACTATGCTTTTGGTGTCTTATCCATGAAATCATTGCCAAGACCAATGTCATGAAGCTTTTCCCCTATATTTTCTTTTTAGGAGTTTTACTGAAAACTGGGTGCAGACTCAGGAGAGACTGGAGATGTGGGGTGATGAAGGGGAGCTGGGTCATGGTTGGGGAGGCTCCAGCCTGTGTGGGACGCAATTGTCTTTAGTTCACTTGTAATAACACAGCAGAAGCAGCAACAATAATTATATATTGAGGGTTGGCTCTGGGCCAGCACCTGAGCCATGTGCTCTTCATCTACCATATCCTGTTGTCCTTATGATAATTCTGTGAAGTAGGGGTGAACCCCAGCTCTGGCTGATTCAAATCCCGTGCATTCAACTCCTATGCCATGCCAATGCTGGTGAGAGCTTGGGCTCACTGTGGCAAGATTGAATATGAGCACAAAAAGGGTTGGGTTGAGTCTGTGGGATTGGCTCTGGAGCCATGTGTGGCTGAGCTCCCGGTGAAAGGGGACAGTGCCCCAATGGAAAAACAGAATAAAGATGGTGTCCACTACAGTGTAACTGAGAATTAAACAAGACCTTATAACTTATTCCCTGGGTGGATGGTTAACATTGAATTTCAACAACCACAGACCCTATCCAAGACCATTTATGACAACTTCCTTCAACGTGACTGAAGTGTGGATGTTAGGTGCCCATTTGAGGCCGCTGTAAGCTGGCAATCAAGACTTCCCTCCATGTTCCTCTCAGAAGCCTTGTGGTCAAGGTGCTGAAGGGACTGGGGATGAGCCATGGTGCACTGGAGTCTCCACACTCTTGGCCCCACTTGCCCAACTGAGGACCCCAGGACACAGGTCTATCCCTGAGGAAAGGGAATGGGATGACGTGAATGGATCTCAGGTTGTTGGTCCCTCTTCCTGCTCCTCACACTCTTGGCCCACTCCCAGGACCAAACAGCACTTTCTAAAGTCCTTTTCACCCCAAGTCCTTAGTTGGCCAGAAAACATCAGCCACTATCTGCTGGAAGCTTGGCTTACTGTACACTGGTATATGAAGGCTTTAATTCACCAGCTGAGCAGTAACCTTAAATGCCAAAAAAATCAGTCTCTTGACTCCTGCATTCAGGGGGGACAAGTTTCCTTGGGTTTCACTACTCTGTAGGAATGATAAGCAGAGAAGTAAAGACAAAGCGTTCAGTTGTGAATTCCCTCATCTTTTTTCTCTCCTTGTGCAGGACTCTGATAGATTCTGGCCTGGAATGTTTCAAAGTGCTTTATCTTCATTTTGATTTATTTTTTGGGGGGGGCAGTGTTTCTGGGAAATTTAAGCATGTCACACCCCACAAGTCTCCGTTAGATCACTGCTGACATAAATACCAACTTTTAAAAGACATCAGGGAAATTACTTTTCAAAAGATAAAACAAAAAAATTAAGGTTTTCAAAAAGTGATCAACATTAAGCTTTATATAATGAAGACATTTTAAAACAAATCATGGTGACCAAGCAAATGATCTTAGAATGACTTTGCCTCCTCTGTCATTAAGGAGTATTTTGAACAAATCAGAGGTTGAATTCAAACCTGACTACTTTTGGCTCTTCTTCTTTCTCTGTCCTTTAGTATATGTGTGTTCCCACTTTAATTCCCCCTTTCTTCAATCTGTTAGTGATGGTTTGTGCCCCTGGCCTCTGACCCAAATGCAGAGCTACTTCACCCACCTCCTATTTCTCCTTCCACCTTTATAATGAAAACATCCTTAAACATGGGATTCAATTCAGTAACAATCTATTTGGAGAGTAAATTAATCTTCATGCTTACCTAACAATGTTTGTTCATTTGTTCATTCAAAAGCTATTTATTGAGGACCTATAATGGGATACATAAGGGAATAAAACAGAAAAAAATATATATGTGATGCATAAGTCAAGGATTTTGTGTGTTAGGAGGTTATAAAAGTCATGGAAAAAATAGAGCAGAATAGGGGGACTGGGAGTGTAGGATTAGTTGAGGAGGAGGTAGACTTCATTAAGGAGAAAGTGAGGGAATGAGTTGGACAGATACCCGGTGGAGGGGAATCTCAGAGGAGCCAGCTAGTACAAATGCTCAGAGGTGGTGGCAGGTGTGCGGTGTTCAAGGAAGAGGGAGGAGAAAGGTGTGCATGGAGTGGAATGAGGGTAGGGAGCACGGAAGAACCTGAATCAGAGAGGTGTGAAGGGTGGCAGACCACGGAAGGGCCTTCTAGTCCATTACAAAGAATTTGACTTTCACTGGATAAAAGGGAAGGCTTGAGAAGAGGAGTGATCGACAGGATCATGATGGTTTCTGCTCCAAACAGATTAT